CATCCCCCCTCACAACGGGGTGGTTTTGCCCTTTCGCGGCTAGACTGTCATGCTTGTCTCCCCCACGCTGGAGGCACTGGGACAGCCCATGAGTTAAAGTCATCCCTCGCAGGCCAAGCTTGGCCAAGTTCACGGCCTGAGTGTGGGATGGGTCCTGCTCCCTCAGGATGTGACCACAAGCCAATTGTCCAGGGTCTGAGTCAAAGGGATGCTCAGCCTGCACCATTTCAGGTGGTCTTTGAGTGGACTGAGACTGACATGTCACTTGGAAGGATCACACCCCTGCAATGTCTATACACCAGCATCCCCCTCTGTACCAAGCAGGGGAATGATGCTGATGCTCCTTGAGTTCTTTGGTGAAAGGAGCTGTCACAGCGTACAGAGACCTCAGACTGGCTTGCTGCATGGAGTGCTTTCCAGACACCTGTAATGAGTCTGGCTCTAAGGAATTTAGCCTCTGAACTCTGCTTACAGCAATTACACTGAAATGACCTCTGTTTGCGTGAAGAGCAGCACTGTCATCCCCAGCACGTGGGAATGGCATGACTAATGTAATGCCGCATCTTGAACAAACAACAGAGGTACGCAGGCAGTAGACAAATTAAAAGCAGGGCTTGGAGGACTTCAGAGACTTTTTGATAAGAGCTTTCCAAATGGCAAGGCCTGATGTTAAATGCCAGCTGAATATGTCACCTTGGGGCCAAGCTAGTTTGTGAGCTCTTGTAAAGCAAGGTTTGTGTGAGTTTCTGTGTGTGAGACTTTGTAAGAAGGCATTTAAACTACTTTCTCTGCTGATATGTGCAGCTGCTTGTTTGATTCCTGGGAGTTTTCTGTGGCCTATCCTTCAGCATTGCAGGTTTTGGACCATTGAGTTCATTTGACCTAATTCTATTTTTTTTTTTTTTTTCCTTAGTATCACCTGGGAGGAATATAACCTTGCTGCCCCACTGACTTGCTGGAAGTATTGGTTTATCTACACTTCTGCCTGCGGTGCCTACCCTATCTCAGTGTAGTCTGGTGCGGGAAGAAAAGCAGCACAGGCTACAAAGATTTTTTTTTTTTTTTTTTTGGTGCTTCACTGAACTAATTGTTGCTTGTCCAAGCAAAACAGGATGGATGGGAAGAAGTGGTACCAAGTTACAGATAGGGCGGTTCCAGCAGGGTCTGAGTCTTTTCGCTAAAGAGAAGTTCCAGCATCAAAGAGGCTGAAAAGCAAACACTCCAATCAACCAAAATGGAAGGAGGCAACAGTCCAAATCTGCAACTTCAGCAACTCCCATTGGCCACACCAGCAGTTTCTGTGCAGCCACACACTGACTCCTTTTCTTACAAGGTCAGATTGCTACCTCAGTCTATCCCTAAAAGTCCCTAACTATTCAAGTAAACTGATAATGCCATTGTATTTTGGTTATTTTTTTGCAGAAAGTGCACTGTCTTTGTATTTAGCCTTGCCTGGAGGCCCAGTATATTACATGCTGTGTATACAAGCAGTGAGAGAGAGCGAGAGGGAGAAATTCTGTGTCTTGAAGAGCTAGACAAAGTGAAGAAAGGACTCGCAATTAAAAGATGTGGATGTCTAAAGGTGGTTAGGTGCAATAAATTCTGCTAGGTGCCTTTTCAGACTAACCCATACATCAGTAACTGAGATCAGATGTTCTGGTCTGCTGTATATTCAAGTGCTTGAATTTCAGGTGGGTCAGCCCACAGCCATGCAGAGAGCCTGCAGCTGAGGCAGGACATGTTGCTGTAGTTCCTCCTTGTACTCCAGCTGGGAACGGAGCTACTCCCAAATCAGTTTACTCTCAATCCCTGATTCTGAAGGTGCTCGGAAAATCCCAGCAAGAAGGGCTTTTTTTCACTGGAAAGAGTACTTTGCTGAGAACACAGCCCTAGGCGCGTTGTAAAAGTTGACCAGACTGATGTTGGCTTGCAAATTCTTACAGTCCAGAAGCCAATCCCAAACTGTGCTGCACTTAGGAGCTTTTCAGCTGAGGCACCGTCTCCTCCATGTCTTCTAAACCAAAGTCTAGTTGCTGAACCAGTAAACTGTGCTGAGCTTCTCTGGCTACATCTGTGATCACACAGTGACATTTTTCTGCCAACTTCACTGTCTGTTGTGGGAAGATCTCTAGGGTGTTTTTGAATGAAACTGCTTGGGTGAATCTTATTTTCATACATCCTGATAAAGAGCTTTTTGTTCCACTGAAAAGAACTTGAAGTCTTAAAATCCTTGTCTTACTATTTATGAGAAAATCAAGGATAGTATATTTACTGTTAAGGGAGGAACACAAATGTGAGCTCAGTTATCCCAAATCAATCAAAGCAAGTACTCCACTGTATCTTGGAGACCTGCACTGAAATGAAAAGTGCTAATGACATCTAATGAGGTTTAGGCAGTTGTTGGAAGAACACAAATGCTAAATGGCCTGGCTTAGCCTCAGGCTCTTCTGTTCACTCCTAATGTACATTTCCTTTGTGACTCAGCCTGCTTTACATCCTTTTTTTATTTCAAATTCTGTCTTTAGACTGTGAGAATTATTGCTGAGCTGGGAATGCTAATGTAGAAGGGGTTGGGAGCTTGCTAGGAGCTGCTACCAGTTGCCTTTTACTTTGGAATAACTGGTTCATATTAAAAGCCACATAAAATCTGTGATAATTGGGCTGCCTCATCAAATGGGCTAAAATACCTACTCAACCAGCAGATGTTGTAAGTGGAGAAGAGTAGAATAGTTCTTAAAATGTGACCCGCAGAATGCAGAGGTTCCTGATCCATACTTTGCTGAATTCCAGGGCAACAAACATCCTTATGAAAAGAGTTTTTCAAAGGGAAGAACGAGCAAATGGGTCGTTGTGTTTAGCTTTATCTTCTTCCCCTCTGAGAAACTGCAAAGAATGCAAATACATGCACACTAATTTAAGTCTCTTGTAGAAAGTGTCTGTTAAGGAAGGGTTATCTTTCACCCGAGTTTCACAGGTTTGGAACGCAGCCACAGGGAACCTACCTGAATTGCCCTAGATTATGTAGAAAGGGAGGAAGATAAACAGAGATTTTATTGACAGATGATCTAGGAACTGTTTTAGAAGTCTGCTCTCTTCCAGGTTGTGTAAAAAGCTCCAACTTCCTTCAGGGTCCAGTGGCTAAATTTAATATCTGTGTGTTTACTGTGTTTTCACAGGAGAACTTGATTGGTGCATTACTAGCTATTTTTGGGCATCTTGTTATCAGTATTGCACTCAACCTGCAGGTGAGTATCATGAAGCAAATATTGATCCTGCCTCAAGCATCCTGCATTAAAAAGCATCAAGCATGCCAAAAATTCTTTGCCTTTATCTTCTTTTTTAGAAATACAGCCACATCCGACTGGCAGGTTCCAAAGACCCCCGAGCCTACTTCAAAACCAAGACATGGTGGTGTGGACTGTTTCTGCTGGTGCTGGGAGAACTGGGAGTGTTTTCCTCTTACGCCTTTGCTCCTCTCTCACTGATTGTGCCACTCAGTGCGGTGTCTGTTATAGGTAAGGGGGAAAGAGGCAACGGCCATACAAGTCTGTGTGCGTTCCAGTATGAGATTGCTGATCATTGGGCTGATACATAACTCTGTTTCTCTCTTCTTTTTTTATAGCTAGTGCAATCATAGGAATTATATTTATTAAAGAAAAATGGAAGCCCAAGGATTTTTTGAGTAAGTTCCACAGTTCCTTTTCATTTTTCCTCTCTGTTTACAAGCCATTCGACACATAGCATGTCCTCTCAAGAATCGTAATTAGAGGGATGGCAAGTTCTCCATTAGTTATAGTCCCTCTTCGAAGAAATGCGTCACCTCATCCACTGTTTGTTAAAAATGGATTTTTTGGGTTTTTTTTTCCCCGTCTTGTGCCAAATCATGTGAATCTCAGAGATTTTTAGAAATACATGGAAATGGTGCTTGTTTGCAGGATCTGAGAATCATGGTTCTCTGGGCTGAAGCTGCAGCCTAGGGCCTTGACTCTGCAATAGCATAGGCACAACTGAATCAGCTGAATTTCATACATGTGCAAGTGTTTGCAGAACTGGGGCGTTCATTCTTCCATTTCCTAGAAAATGGGCTGTGAGCAGCACCAGGCAGGATAAGCCCCAGATATAGATCTTGTAGCTTCAACTTGTTTAGCAGATGCTACCTGGTATGAGCTTTTTTTCTCAAGTCACAGCACACACATTGCCTAGGGTTTTTTTGGTTCTAATATTTTGAAAGTGGGGCATGAAGGGCAGAGGAATGAGTCGTCCAGAGGAATGTGCATGATGTCATTAATGGTCACTGTGCATGTGCGATATTAATTCCATGCATCCACACTAACTCACTAACTTTGTCCTCTCTTTTTTTTTTTTTTTTTTTTTTTTGTCCTTTGGTTGCCGAAGGGCGCTATGTTTTGTCCTTTGTAGGCTGTGGTTTGGCAATTGTTGGAACTTATCTGCTGATAACATTTGGACCTAATAGTCATGAGAAGATGACAGGAGAAAATATCACTAGGCATTTAGTGAGCTGGCCATTTCTGTTGTATATGGTAAGATGGCCCATAAAATGTGGGACAGTTTTCTGCTATATGCCGGATTGGGAGTTTCATTTCAAGCATTACTTTTTCCTTATGGTTACTAGCAATATTCCTTGTACTTGCTAATGAACCTATGCCAGCTTTTTCCAGGGTCAGTTCCACATTGCCTGTGGACACCTGCATGCACAATTTGGAGCCTTCCCATTCTTTCTCTGAATTATTCTGTTAGGACTTAAATACCTTTAACTGAAAAGTTTTAAAATAGCTTGCTCTCTCCCTGACCTGTCAGCTTCAGCCTGTGGCAGCAGTACTGGTGGCAGCTGAGAGCAACTTGTTCCAGAGGTGTCCAAATACTGTGCTTGCATCTGGGCTTTTTCTAGACTGACTTTCTCTGGAGCCATCAACCTCTCATTGAAAATCTTGAAAAAAACCTGAAACCTATCATTTTTTAATGGAGATAAGTTTGGCCATTAAATAAGATGTGTGCTGCAGAGATCACTTAAAGAACCTCATTACGGAAAGTAGGCTGAGATCTCTGAGGTGAATATTCAGTCAGGGTTATTTGATCTGCTGCTCTACCATGAATATAACGTCAAAAGTGTCCCATGTTTCCTGTTCTGCAAGAAGCTATTGAATATCTCATCTAATTAGACTCTAAGATCATGCTAAATTTGATCTATAATTGTGTGGGATCCTCGTTTTCCTTTGATTTGCCCTTTTGTGTAATTCTAATGTTTGGCTGGCTCAAAATGCCGTTTACTGCCAATCCCATACATCCCGCATCTTTTAATATTCTCATTTCTATCTCTTGTAGCTTGTGGAGATCATCATATTCTGCCTGCTACTATATTTTTACAAAGAGAAAAATGCAAACTACATTGTAGTTATTCTTCTGCTGGTAGCTTTGCTGGGTAAGTTGATACGGACTTGTAAGATCTTCTGACTCTGGCTTATAACAGTAAACTACAGTAAACTGAGGCATCTATGTCTTACAGGGAATTATATTGACCTAATCAATGTCATAAAATGCACCAATCTATTCCAGAAATCTTACTACAAATTAAATAAAGCTAGTATCTTGTAGTGATGTTTAGGATCTTTGAACAATTAAGACTTATTTCCCATAAGGATGAATAATCTGCCAAATACAGAAAGTGCAGCTTATTTATTAGTGTTCTTAATTTTAATCTGTGCATGCAAAGCATGGTACAATATCTTATCTATTCAATGGATAAGGAAGGCTGATTCAGTGGATGAAAGAGAGGATTTGACCTACAAGAATCTTCTTGGCTCTGGGAAGATTTGCTGTGTGGCTAAAGAAATGATAAATACTCTGCCATGCCAGTATGTCCCTATTTAAATTGGGAGAGCCTCTGGGCATGGGGTCAAATGATGCTTTTGATATCCTCATAGCCTACAATGGGATCCTACAGTGTCTTTGGCAAGGCCAGGATTTCACTTGTACCGTTCTCCACATTAATCTGTTTTTTTTAAGAAACTGTGATCAGTTAAACTTTAAAAAGGGTGAATAATAGCAAGGCAGTGACGCAGTCTGACGTGCTGTTGAATCTATGTCACAGCCCTCAATTTTTGCTATTTATGCAACTTCAGTCACTGCAGTATCTTGTCTTTTTTTTTTTTTTTTTGAACTGTTTGCGGCTGGATTTCAGTAACTGACGCCTCAGAGGCTGCGTGAATCATAGACAAAGCAACTGTCTGAATTCTGAATGGCCCTGACTTGTGCTTTCAAGAAATGGAAAGGAAGTAGGCTCTTTCTGATTCCTTTTTGAAAGCTTCCTTAGCTTTATTAACCGAGCCAATATGGCATCAGAAATGAAAACTTGTATCCTTCCATCATGTGATTGCACAACACTGTTTAAACACTTAAAAAAAACGGTAAATGCTCCCCGTCCTGTAGAGAAGAGAACCGTGATACAGAAAGGTTAAGTGATTTATTGACGATGTTGTGGTTTAACCCCAGTCAGCAACTAAGCGCCACCCAGCCCCTTGCTTGCCCTCCCCCCTGGTGGGGTGGGGGAGAGAATCGGAAGGGCAGAAGTAAGAACACTCGTGGGTTGAGATAAGAACAGTTTAATACTTGAAATAAAATAATAACAACAACAATAAATTGTAATGAAAAGGAAAAACAATGAGAGAGAGGGAGAGAGAGGAACAAAACCCAGGAAAAACAAGTGATACAGCTGCTTACCACCTGCCGACAGTCCCCGAGCAGCGATTGCTGCCCCCTGGCCAACCCCCCCAGTTTATATATTGAGCATGATGTCATATCGTATGGAACATCCCTTTGGCCAGTTTGGCTCAGCTGTCTTGGCTGTGCCCCCTCCCTTGTGCACCCGGCAGAGCGTGGGAAGCTGAAAAGTTCTTGATTATGTAAACACTGCTTAACAACAACTAAAACATCAGTGTGTTATCAACACTATTCTCATACTAAATACAAAACACAGCACTATACCAGGTACTAGGAGGAAAATTAACTCTATCCCAGCTGAAACCAGGAGAGAAGGTCATTGTGGTGAAGTTGTTGGGAATAAAACTGGCAGAGTTGGGGATAAAATACAGAGTTCTTGTAGATCTTGGGTTTGTTTGCAGATGCCTGTCATGTAGGGGGTGAATGTGCAGCGTTCGTGTCCCTTTCAGCACGTATCAGTGCTTCAGCTGAGTCTTGGTAAACATTCACAGGTTCCATGACTGTTGTGACCGTGAAGGCTGTGGCAGGCATGATTGTTGTCTCGATACAAGGAAACTTACAACTCGACTACCCTATATTTTATATCATGTTGGTGTGCATGATTGCTACAGCGATCTTTCAAGCAACGTAAGACATTCACTCTCTTTTTGTCTATAATTGTGCTGGTTTCAGTGGATCAGTAATTAGTGGGCTGTTTGGTATCCATTCCAAGAATGCTGATTAGATTTTAGGAGAAGAATTATCCATTCCCTTCTGTGACCTATCCTCAAATCCATGTCACAGAAGCCTGAGGTAGTGGTGTTCTTTGCTTTTCTGTGTAGTGACACTGCCAAGTAGTTTTAATCCCAAATTTATACATCATTCAAGTATTTGCAAAACAATGTTAGGAATGAAATGGTGGCAAATTGAATACAGTATCTGTGCACTGGCTAAAATCAAGGTGCAGAATCACTGTTATGATGTGTCTATTTTTTTTTTTTCCCTCTGTACTTGTAATAACATAAAAAGCTGGTAGCAGCAGGGATAAAAAGCTATTCCAAATGTGAGTGGCATTCTGGCCCTAAGGTCAGTGGCAGTAATTTCACTACCTTTAGTCGGTACAGCCATAAGGCTTACTCTGCTATCATTTATATGAATTCCAAGGGATGCTGCTGCAGGTTTAATGAGAAAGAGAATAAAGTTTCTTAAATTTATGCATCACTTTTGAAAGGTGTTTCCAAAAAGGAGACCTATACTGGTCCATGATAACTGCTATACAGTTTGAGTATCCTTCCCAAATCAAGCCGTGTTGTCTGCCATTGTATTGCAGATTTTTAGCTCAAGCCTCACAGCTGTATGACTCATCTCAGATTGCCAGCATCGGCTATATCCTGTCCACAACAGTAGCAATCACAGCAGGTAACAGTGCACAAAAGAGTGTGTTGGTCCTTTCTAAAAGAAGGGCAAAAGATTTTGGAAAATAATCCTCACTTACAGATGAGGAAGGTGAACACTTGGCAAAATGATGACTTGTATTTTCTTGTCATCTCTCTTCTGCAGCTGGCTTTGTTTCTTTTTTCTTTCAAAAAATGTGAATTATCCCATTAGACTGTGTTAAAATTTTCTGTTAAGTTCTGTCATTTTGTTTAAAGTGCATGGAAACTTACGTTTGAGACTGTATTACACATACCATGCTAGCGTGTAGGAGAAGAGGGTGATGTATGCTCTTAGATGTGCAACTTGAATACACAGCTAAAATTTCTCCTTTTGTGTAATTTTATCTAGATATTGTTAAAATGTATGTGATACAGTGTATAAACCTATTTGCTTCCTCTGTACAAAGGTACAATTCTCTTCCTGATAGTCTTGTTTGCATTGTATCAAGAATGCAGCTGCTTACAACTTTATAGGCACTTTTCTTTCTGAACAGTTTACTCCAATTTCAGCCCTTGCCCACATAGGAAAAGCTTTGTCTGCATGAACAAAGATGAGCATTTTAAACCCCTTAGGCTTCAAACCTGATGAGCAGCCTTTTTAAGGTTTTATTCTCCTCACTTAGACATACGAGCAAACTGGGGAAAAATCCTAAACAAAAAAACCAAAACCCTAACACTGGAGAAAGTGCATCTGCTTGACAGTGATGGATACTATCTGTGTAAATAGTAATGCTTTTCTAGGTATATAAGGGCAATAGCTTCCCCTGTAAATTACACATTGCCTTTTAATGCTCTTCTTCAATGTCATGAGAGAGAGTATGGCCTACTCTTTGGCTAATGTTTATTTCCTGTCATGTTCCAAGCCATATGCTGCTCTCAGATTCATCAGCTTATTTACTTTACTTCAATTAGAAATGTAAAGAGCAGGAGCCAGAATGCGTGTCCTGTTGACATCCAGGACACCAAGGACGCTTGTCATCTTATAGGTTTGAGCTGTATATATTCGTTTGGGGTCAAGAGCTTGTATCCTGTTGTAATTAGAGAGATCCGATTTGGTTTGTCGTTCAGACTTCAGAAAGGCAGTCTCTCTTGTTTATGTGGTAACCACTGCTGTATGCTGAGAATTTGGCTCGGACTTTATTAGCAGTGACATGCAATAGTTCCAGCAATGTTTCCTTCGTAACCCCCTACCCCAATATGGAAAGATTTGTGCTAGTTGCTAGATTTGTGCTGCTGTACAGATTTACTTGCCTCTATATTAATTACACCAGTATAACTATTTTGGTAGTGAAATTCTAAAAGATTTGTCAATAAATTGTGTTAAAGTAGAAATCAGGCCATCCTCTTCTATTTTAAGATCATAAAAAAACCAAAGGTGCTGACTATAAAAATAGGAATCTTGCATGATTTGGTTTCTGGAGGGACTAGTGCTGGAGATGTAGCACTAATTGCTCAGGTAAGCTGGGAAGAAAGATGTAATGAATTATTTCCTTTTAAAGGAGCAACTTTTTACTTGGACTTCACTGGTGAAGATGTTCTCCATATATGTATGTTTGCGCTTGGGTAAGTGTTTAAAGTTTCCTTCATAGAAAACTGTAAAGTATTTCTTCATATGACTAAAATTTTAAAAATACGTATCTATCTCTCACTATATATATATGTTGGAGGTACATACATTCTTGAGAGGAGGACAAACTGAAAGCATTTTCTCTGTTAGAGCAAACAATGGCCCATAGAGCTCAGTATCTTGTCTGAGTGATGATAGATGCTCTAGAGGAATTGTGCAACACTACGTTATGCATAATTGTACAACATTAAACACTAAATCCCTTACTGGCTGTACTGGGGATCAGCTTGGATGTTGAAGCACATGGGCTATTGTTCAAGCTACCTGCTCATGAATGTAGAAGAATTGCAGAATAACCAAAAGAAGGCACCTGTAGGGAATCTATTTCAGGTTTTGCTCCGAGCCTTCACTGAACTGTGACTGGACTTCTGGACGTCTGTTTCTTAGGGCATGGGCACTCACACAGTGCAGATATGATCAGTAAAACATTTACTGTGTAACTCAGTATTTAGTCCTAGTACAGTGTCTTGATGTGATTCGTTCTCTATAATAATGTCTTTCAGATTAGTACAGAAAAAAACAATTGGGAGATTAATGTTATGAACTGTGCCTTTCTCTGTCAACATACTGTAAAAATCAAGATCGACAGTTGTTAATGTGTTTACCTATGGGAAACCTTTCAAAGGTCAGGCTGCTAAATCCTGGAATTTCATCAAAGCAACCCAAATTTTGATATGCTTCCTTTCCCCTTTAGTTAGTTAAGATTAATTAATTAACATGAAAACTTTTCCCTGCTATTTGATAAAGAAAAGGTGGAATTGTTCTGATTGCTAGGTGGATTTCAATACTGCTGAAGAGAGTTATTCAGCTGAGACAGTTCCCTGTAATTCTGGCTTCACAGTTCTTTCTCTTCCAGTTCTGAATTCTTTGTGGTGCTACGTGATAGGCACTCAGAAGAAGCAACGTGCAATATTACCTCTTCTCCTTTTTCATAGTTATCTCAGTAGATCTTGTCTTCTCTCTCAGGTGCCTCATAGCATTTCTAGGTGTCTTCCTGATCACAAGAAATAGGAAGAAATCTGTACCGTTTGAACCTTACATATCAATGGATGCTATGCCAGGTAACAGTAAAAATACAATGGTTTATCACTCTCTCGTCTAAGTGTTGGGCTTCACAGTGAAAGCTCAAGCTTTAGGCTCTGTTAACTATCCGGATATATCAGGCAGCTGTGTTGTTTTCTAGTTTTTCCTTCTCTTGCTTGTTTGTGCCTTGTGAGGGGTACATGCCTGTTTTGCATGGAGCAGAGAAGAGGTGATGTGCGACTTGGATGCCACTTATTCTGGGTCCTCTGACACCAAGGGGGGGTGTCAGATTTTGTCAGAACAGCCTTGTCCAGTTGGCTACTGTCTGGGAAGATGGACTAGTTTTGAGCATTTGCTTGGGACTGGGCTCGGTCTTCATGCAGCAGGAAGAACTGATTATTGGGGAAGACTGAGGTATTTTGCAAGAGGTGGAGGCCAGGGGGAGCAGAAATTTCTTTTGGGAAGTACAGTTAAACTCTCTTTCTGGTGAGCTGTATAAAAGGTATGCAGCACTTGATAAATAACTGACTGCCATCCCTCATTCACTTGAAGCTTATTTCTTCATTAGTTGCTTTAGTGCTAAGCAGAAAAACATTATGTCTTTCATTTAGCGCTCAAGGAACTGATGAGCCGCATATCACGAACCCTGAGACTATATAATTTGCTGATTTAACAGAGTGCAGGAAGAATGCACTTTTGTTCCTAAGCATTTAATCTCTGTCTTTGCTCTTTTCAGGCATGCAGAACATGCACGATAAAGGGATTGCAGTTCAGCCTGACCTCAAAGCTTCTTTTTCCTACGGTGCCCTAGAGAGCAATGACAACATGCCGGAAATTTATACTCCAGCTACGTTGCCGATTGTGCAGGAGCAACATGGTTCCAAAGGAGTTTCTGCTCCACCTTACCGGGTGCTGGAGCACAGCAAAAAGGAGTGACTGACCTTTAAGGAACTGATTTGAATCATTAGAAGTATGATCTTTATTTATTTACACATTAAAATATAAGCAAGTGTAAAGCCAACCTTGATATAGTTTAAAGCTTGTCTCAAACTTAATTTCAAGGCTGATTATTAAAATAAACAACTCTCTATAGTTGTGAAGTTGAAAGCATTCATCTTAGCAAGAAGTAAATCACATTTCTCCGTTGAAGGCTGCTGCCTGGAAGCGTGAAATGGTGAGTGCAGTATCATGACAGTATGAAACCGATGAGATAGCAGATGCTGTGAAAATGCAGAGCTGTGGGAAGAGAAGTGGCAGTGCAATTTTTAGTCCTGCTGGGAGTGGGTTTACCTTCAAATAGAAGTTTTCAGGAGTTGCTCACAGAGAGAGGAGGGCAGGATTTAATCTTTCATATATAGAGAGACTGACGGATTTCCAGAAAAGTTGCAAATCCTCATGTCTCTAGCGTAACCACCAAACTACCTTAACATGGCAATAAAATGTAATTGTTTTCCAGCACGAATACTGAAACTTACTGTGTCTTTAGAGCAGCATATTTGGTTAAGAGTAAGCAAGATACTTTATTCCTTCAAAATGTGAATCTTGGGCACTGCCTGTACAACTGTTCTCTGACTAGTGTTGAACCTATGCACTGAGTATGTGAATTGTTTTTATAGTACCACTGGATTATATGGCAGCTTAGAACAAAGTTTATTTGCCAGTTTTCTGGTTTCATAGTAGGAGCTTCAAGTTGGATTAAATGGTGCAGAGGGAACACAGTAAAGTGCAAGAACAAGAAGAAATGAAAATAGTAACAGGACTGGTATCCGGTGGGAATTTTTTGTAGTTCTTGATGAGGTCCTACTTCTGTTATCACTTTTATTTTCTTTCTGGCAGGATTTCCAACTTTGTTTAGTGTTCTTAAATGCTTAAAGGTGTTGACATTCTTTAGTTAAAAAGCTTAGTTAGTTAAAAAGCTCAGTCTAGGTGTTGTAGGGTGGGGTCTCCCCCCTTTTTTTTTTTTCCTTAAAAAAGGCAAAAAACCATACTGGTCTTATACTGTGAATGACCTAAGAAGAAAAAAGAAGTGTGCGCAGTCCAGCACGCGGGACTGTAAGAATAATGGATCATTGTGTACTCATGATATTTATCTTTCCAGCTTCCGAGAGATGGCTAGAAGCTGATACGAAGGGAGAATAGACACAAGGGGGGGAGGAAACTTGTGAAGTGAAAAGGACAAAGTACAATATTTACTGGCATATGCAAGTTACACGGGCACTTTGATATCACCATCTTCTCTAAAAGCAGTTGTTTTGCTGGGAAACAGAATTTTAAGTCTACTCCGTGTGTCTTGGACTGTATGCATAGTGGAGTGTCTCCATGACCTTAGAAGACTTTATTTGAAATGAATAGTGCTTGTGTTCCACGCATTTTTAAGTGGTTACTCTGATACCAAGGGGTTTGGGAGGATCTTGGACTTGCTACAGTGGCTTTCTGCATTTTTTTTTTTTTTTCTTTTTTTAAATTGACTCATGGCCAGTTTCTGTTCCCACTACCAAAAATTCCCAAGAACTCCACTGACTTGTATATAGTTATTCCAGATTCTTGCTATTGTATATGACAACAGAACTGTTCTTTTGGGTATGTTTGCTTTGCCAGCTATAAATACTAGTTTAATCTGGAAATACTTGAGATTGTTTTGGCATTTTTGTGCAGCTTAGAAAAATGACAACCTTCCCCCCCCCCGCAAAGAGTAGATGCCTAGTGGCTGTACGTGTATCTATACGTGAAGTTTCTTCACCAACTTGGCATGTCTGACAATTCAGATCTTATCAGTGGCATCCCGTACACTAGAGCTTATGAAACCTCAAGAAATAACAGCTTTTCTTTTGCCCTCAATACTTTTTGTGTTTAAGTAAGATAACAATGTTAATGGGCTAATACTGCCAGAACATTAATCTTGTTGGATTTGCAGTGACACTGATTTACTACCTTTGGCTCTGTATCCCTGGTAATCAATTGTTTGTGAATTTATGTGCAGCTTTTGTTCATTAACAATACAAAACAAAGTAATACAGGGGAGGCTGAATGTGAAGGCTACAAGAATGCTGGCTTTTCTTATCTCTTCCCTTTTAATCAATGAGGCAGTAGCTGTTTTGACCTATTAGTTCTGAAACCACAGGAACATACTCTTTTAAAACAAGCTGTGCTAAACCATCCATAGCTACAAACTCTACTTTTTACATGGCGATATTCTCTGTTTAATTATTATGTATGTTGCTGTGGTATAAAATAATCAGAAGCGCCTAAATGTTTTGCTGTTGACTTCTACTATTAGGATGGTCCTATGTGTAACAGAACATAGTTTCCTCAGTTCTTAGTTTTTCAGTAGTATTGAAAAACTGCGGTTGTCTGGTGTGCAGACTTTGTAGCCAGCAAATGGCTGGTTAGGTTTTTCTCCTAATCATGGGACATCATGAGAGACAGACATGGAGTGCTTTGCCAGGGGGAGGGAGCTACTCTGATGCTGAGCCCCTGCTTGTACTGCTCTTTTGTTGGCTGCTCTCTGGCCCGATTTAGTGATTTTTTTTTTTTTTTTTTTTTTTTTTTTTTTTTTTTCTCTGAAAGCCCTCCAGCAGCCTGAGCACTGACTGACTCCTGGCCTGACCTTCCTCTCTGCCAGAGAGCCCTCAGTTGTCAGCACGTGGCTGTCTTCCGCTCTGAGTGAAATTTCCTCCAGCCATAACCTGAGCTTTTGTATTATTGTGCTGTTTTGGCCCTTTTCTTTCAAAGATTCTAAAGGCAACAGTCTTGCTCTAAAGCTTTATATAACCATGTTTTATTTACACAGTCTGTGTGTGTTTAAATAATTCTACTTAATAATGACAGTTCCCTTTACCTGCAGCAAGACTTGCTTTTGGAAGCTTCCTGACAAAGGGCTCCAAGGGAGGCGATGTCTGTTTCTACAGTACATAAATCACAATATTTTAGATTACTCCATTGTGCCACATCAGTAGAGCCTGAGGTGTTCCTTGGGTTATAGGCCTCAACTTAATGCACTGACGTTGTAAGGGTTGTGTTTTTGCCCATCTGTGTTAACCCCTCTAAGCATGGTAGTAGGACTGCCAGACTGCACCTCGCTCCTGCTTGCTGCCTGTGTTCAATACTTGAATTTTAAAATGTGGGGGTTTTTTATATTTTATGCACTTTGCCCTTTCTTGCTCTTTCTCCCAAGCTTCCAAAAGATTTTATTTTCTGCTCTTCAGCATAGTCTTACAGCTGCCATCTCTGTTGCTGAGAAGGCATGAACAGGGGCTCCTAGGAGCCAAACATCTATTTAAACTGACTGTAGGAGTTCTGCACTCTTTCTAACAGCGGGAGGGTATAGCTCAGGATTGAAACAAACTCCTTACCTCCCTTCTAGTTCAGACCTTGCAAGCCGACAACAGGAAGCTATTTGTACCCCCAAGTCTATACTTTCTACAGAATGTTTGTTGGTCTAAGGTGACAATGGCCAGGCCCGGCATTGCAGCAAACATTTACAGCTAAACAGCACATGCAGATTTAAAGGAGAGGAGCCCCGTGCCACATTCTAGTCCTTCTTGCAGCATGAAAAATAATCTGTTGGTGTACAGCACACATTAACATGTGTATGTCAAAACTTCAGTTTATCCAAGGCTAATCTGGAGAGAGGCAGGGCACTGTAAATGGCAGAGTGTGCTTAGATTTCCAAATGTGCAGCATTTTTCATAACCAACAGCTGAAAAAGCGTGCACAAAAATCAACTGACTGCTGTCTCATAAACTGGTAGAATAGCTCCTTGATTCTCTATCTCCTAGCTTCTTTATTGAATGTGAACTGACATCTATTGCCTCCACTGTGTGGCTTTTCAATGCACCAGAGCACTTAATACGTTCTCAGAGTATATCTTACATGTAAATTAATGCTGTGGCATACAGCTCCTATGTTGGCTGAATGTACAAAATGATCTGCCTACAACGTTCTCTTGTTCACGTTAAAATGTGTAAATAAATCAAGCTTTACAGTATTGGACTATAAGGATAACTGCTTAATTTTTCATAAGCAATGTTGCATGTCTATTTAATTCTATTTGTCTTTTAGGTGAGACCTTTGGAAATGAAACTTAATAAAAGATTGTGGTAAAACCTACAGTATTCTGGCTTGCTCTATACTCTTTGTATAGTTTTAATCGCCCTTAAATGTCCTGAGAGAAGTTGAGACAGAATTTAGTTTACTACTGTAAGTACTACATGCATTCAAAGAACTGTCTTTTTTAACAGGATACTTGTAAATGAAATGCAGATTGCTACAACTCATGTTTGGGGCTGCAGCATGACTAGGGCTTGCCATTTTACATAAGTCTCCAAGTATTTGGTGTCAGCTTTAGGAGTCATGCAATTTACTTGCATGATGACAATAAAAATCTTAGTTTTACAGGGCTTTAAAAAAACCCCTTAGCATTCATTATTTCAGAGAAGAGCTTGAAAATGTGATCCAAGTATAGCCTAAAGGAGGGGGGGATGACACAAGATGAGCCAAATCACAAGCCCAAAAGCATTATATTATTGGTGGCCTGACTCATGATTTTTGCATGCCTGCCAACTCAATACTGAAATTGAGACAACAGCATGCTTCTCTGAGACAGTGAAGACCTCTAATACTAGTTGGGAACGCTACGCTGTAGGAGATGCCATCCTTCAGATAGAGGATAACATGTCTTTGATTGCAGGAGTAGACAGCTTAAGGGCATTTCCTAACAATGCCATTAAGAGATACAGACGGTCATAAATTTAGAATACTGGCAATGTAGCTTAATCGAATGCTTGCCAACCTAATTAACACTCACCATATGGGTTTTAGTCCAGGGGGATAAGCAGAAGATAACCCTCAGGATACTCTTAATTAAATGTATCTCTTGGGGTCCCAAACCACAAATGGAGGAAAAAAAAAAAACCACCACCAAGAGCAGCCTTACGCGCTGGTGTTAAAAACTGCACTTCAAAGAAGTCCCTGGACATGAGTATTAAAACACTGGCTAGCGCTTTCTTGAATGTTTGCAGAAGCAGCATACCTAAGCCCCAGAGTTTCTGATAAATGTGGTAGTACTTTGTTAAGGTACATAATTTAAGGGTTAGTGTGTTGTATCAGAGACAATTGTGTTAAGTGCTAATGTAAAGAGGTGGCAATCAAGCCAGATGTCAGGATCATTACAGAAATGCATGCTACAAAAGAGGTGTTATTACAAAAGACAGAGTATTTAAAATGTCCCTGAAATGGACACAGATGTTGGGAGTTTGTGGTATTAAAGCAGAATATATTGCTGGCCAGGGAGGAAGAACATGCTATTGAATTAATAAAGCATGTGATTGCAGCAAGGAAAGGCTAAGGTAATTGAGACTAACCAATTACTGCCTAAATTTGCACTGCATCTAAATTGCAGAATCCCTTATCTGGACAGGTAAGATCTTACCTTTCTAAAAGGGAATTCTGCTATGCCCCGTT